GCGGCGGGGCTGCGGGCGGCGGCGCGGCCGCTGAGGGTGGCGGCTGAGCTGGCGGAGATTGCCACTGCCCCTGCAGACGTGAGTTTGGGGCCGTTGCGTTGGGCTGCCGTGGCTGGGAGCGGATGTTGGCTTTGGGGGCTTCCTTCTTTCTTGGATTCATCAGGGCGTCAAGCTCTTGGGGCGAAGCTCTGTAGGTCGTGGTTCGCGTTGCCTGCACCGAGCTGCGCCTAGCAATGTCGGCGGCGCCTGCCTGTACTGCGCTGAGGCGGGGCATGGCTTCTAGACACTGGCCAAATTGTTTTGTTGGGAAGCATTGAAGACCCATCCCGCACCCCAGCCCGCCTGGATGCAGCTGCAGTGCTGATTCCAACACAGCGGGGCCCCACCGCCCCTGCCCACCGGCCCACCACCTCCTCCTGGCGCCCCCATAACCGCAGATCGTCGACGCGTCCGCCGCGCACGCCGGCGGCGCCACGGCGGACGCGACGTGGGAGCAAGACGCCCAGGCGGCGCAGGGCGGCGGCGGCGCCGCGGCGGAGTGGCAGGGGCGCTGGCAGGCGCGGGGGCAGGAGGCTGCGGCGGGGGTTGAGTCCGAGGCTGAGGGTGAGGAGCAGGAGGACGACTCAGACGAGCCAGAGGGGCGTGGGCCGCTCAAGATCTCGGTCGGCAACGATGATCTGGATCTGGTCGTGGATCTGGGGCGTGTCCCCACGTCTCCGATCAACCGCGTCGACTCGTGCGTCCCTTTGGCCGCCGAGATGTCTGTTCAGCTTTCGGTGTCGTCGGCCGCCAGCCTCCCGCTGGGAAGCTCCGACGAAGGGGCTGTAGCAGCCGCGCTGGCCTCGCCCGCCGTGGGCGAGGCCAACGGCCGTGCGGGCTGCGTGCTGCCGCGGCCGGAGGCGCTGCCTGCGGCCGTTGAGGCGCGCAACCGCTCCGCGCGCGTCGCGGCGGCGGCGTGCGGCCTGAGGTACGCGGGGCTGAGCGTCCGCGACGCGGCGGCCGTCGCAGAGATCGTCTTCTCATCCGCGGCAGCCGTCGAGGCGGCCGCCGTCGCCAGCCCGCAGGTGGCGCCGCCGGGATCTGGCGGCGGTGATCTGGCACGCCCTTCGGCGCCGCCAATGCTCGCAGCGCCGGGCGGCGGCGGCACGGGCCTGACGTGCTGCTGTGGGGATGGCGGGGCCGCGGCCGCGGCCGAGCCGGCGGGGGAGGAAGGTGATGGCGGCGCCTTGGAGGAGCCTCTCCTGGGGCCGGCGTCCCCGAAGGCTGCCGCACGGGCAGCCCTGCAGGAGAAGTGGGCACGGGGGGATGTCTGATGCGAATTTGCGGCCGTCGGCCTGGGATGGCGGGCTCCAAGGCCCAGGGGCGGTTCTGGGAGGGCTTCAGCCCAGGGGCTCATTTTGGCCAGCCCCTTAGGAGGGCACAGGCTTGGAATGGGCGCACGTGCGCCCGGGGATGCTCCTGACTCGAGCACGTCGCTGCTCTGGGGTTGGCGGCTGCTGCCAGCAGCGACGGATGCGTGAGTGATGAGTGACTCACCGCACCCTACCCCTGCATGCCCGCGCAAGGGTTGGCAAGCTCCGCATGCACGCGGCAGGGTGTGTTGCACATTTGCAAGGGAAGGCGCACGCAGCATTGCAAGGGGTTGACACCCCCACATCTGCCACCCGCCATGCGCCACGCAATCTAATGCCCAAGTTGTGCTTTTAGTGTGCTTGTTTGGGAGGGAGAGTGGCCGCCTATGAGACCGCGGTGTTTGCTGCGGCCGTCCTCGAGGTGTCTTTCTCATTGGCTGGCGCGCAACATGCGCATGCACGTCCCCAGTCAGCCGAGGGACTCTAGAGCCTGAGGTTCCCCCTGTGTCATCGATTGTTTATGTTGTACACACACCCCTCCAATGCATGCGGGACGGCTTTGCACATATGCTGTGAGCAATCCGGTGGCGTGGGCACTGATGGCACGTGTGGCACGTACAGCATGCATAGCAGACCCTCCGGCATTGGCGTGCGTTTGAAGCGCTCAGCAACGCCGTTGCACAGCTTTGGCAGCTGTCCCGCATCCCAGGTTAGTTTCGGCGTCCCATCGGCTGCGTTCTCGCGCTTGCAGTAGCACCGCTCTGAGGCGTCATCCCGACAGGGCGGCCAGGCCTTGTGTACCTGTGCGGATCTTAAGGAAGTGTACACGCGTACGTGCCCCTGCCGTACTTGCTGCAGTGGAAGCAATCTTTTGGCTGCTTTTGGCTGGTATACATCCCATTTCGTTCCTAGGCACGCTTCACTTCTTCTCAACAACAAAGAGAAAACTAGCAGCGCCTCCAGTAAAACTGTGCTCATTCCCTGGTGTCAGTACTATATGGCTGCATGCCTGCTGCAATTGCTGCCGCCTTGCAGCTGCTAGCTGCTGTTGCCGCCGGCGCTACGGCTGCTGCTGCTGCTGCTGCTGCTGCTGCTGCTGCTGCTGCTGCTGCTGCTGCTGCTGCTGCTGCTGCTGCTGCTGCTGCTGCTGCTGCTGAGTCATACTGCCAGTAAATTGTCAAGGTGTTATGCACAAGCCTCAGCACCTGCATGTCACATATAAAAGGTGGCACATTCTCCAGCTGGTGGTGCTGGACACATGGAGTGATGTAGAGCCATAGGGTTAGGCTCTGACGCGCCATTCGTTCCAGGCGCTGTCTGTCTGGCTTCCACATGCTTCAAAGGCTCAGTAGATGCCCTGTCATGTTCCCGAAGTTACACACTTTAAAAATCTTGGCGGCGGCCATCACGCCTCCCTCAGTCTAGTTGTGGCACAGGCGTCTGTGATTATTCAAATGTTGCCGCGCTACACGCCGCACACAATTTGCAGTTGATGTACCAATTGCAACCCCACAAAAGTGGAAGTGGTTGGCATATCGTCAGCATCCACAGCTCTGGCATCACTTGTCAGACGGCCAGAAATCACTTCATCACTGGCGCGGTGACCGGCTGCCGGATGAGCGAGGTGCAAGAGTGCTGGTGTCGAAACCCCCAGCGGTGCCATTGCCCGCTACAAGGCAATCAATATCTTAGGTCGAGATTTCTCAGGTTCAGCTGACAAGTGATCCGCAGCAAAACCCGGGGTGCGAACTTTTGCACAAGGTGGATCAGCAACCTGGTTGACCATGCCGGCGCTCCTACCACGTCAACGTTATTAATTAAAGTTTCAGGCTCAATTAAGCATCACGGTGGAAGGGTTGGCGCAGATTCCACGCCATCTCGTTAGCCTCGTAATCCGGGCAGTGGCGCACCACGCACGCCTCCAAGTCTGCGGACACCAGAGCTGATCCAATAAGCAGCAACTACGGCCACTTCCCTAAGGCGGCCATGGGTGCCTGCGCGTCATTGCCAGCTGCGGAGCCGGCGCGAGAAGCATGCGCCCAACCGGTGACGCCGCCGCTGGCGAGGGCCCCAGAAGCGAGGCCGCCGAGCCTGGACCCGTTTGCAGCAGCGAAGGGCAACCCACGCGTTGGCACCCTTTCGATGACCCGATTGAGCGTGACACCAATGGCAGGTGAGATGGGTGGCTGTTTGGGGCTGCACAGGCTCACCCCGTTGGGCGCCCCATTGCACGGAAGCACCCCAGAACCCACCACATGCCACGTTATCTGGGGCCTAATTGCATCACCGCTCAACACCGGAAGTTGAGGTTGACGTGGCGTTGTTGCGCTGATACCCAGCCGCGGCAGCAGCCGTGAGTTGGTAGCTCGTCACCTGTGACGCGCACCCCTCGCCCACCATCCGCTGGGCGTCGTTTGTGGGGCAACCCTTGTACGCAGGGTTCTTGTCCGAGGTGAGCAAAAGTCTCTCGCGTGCCAGCCTGCATTCCCGCTTTAGACTGTAGCCCGTGCTTTGGACTGCAGTCGGCGTACTGCGCGCTGCGGCGCACCTCGGGTGCTTGACTGCTACTTGACTGTCGGACGCGGCTGGTGTAGAGGTTTGCACAGGAAGCCTGCGGCTTGGCCCCGCTGCCGCAGCTGAGGCAGCATTAACCCTTACTTCAGTGCAGCCCTCACCGCCCCTGCGTGTTCCGTGTCGCGTTGCAGCATGTTGCGGCAGCCAGGCCTCCTCCGCCCCGCGACGTCCCGCCGCCGGCCTGACGGGCGCGACCGCCATGTATGCTGCCGCGCATGCACCTGCCACACAGGTTCAAATCCTGCAGCAGCAGCTGGCCATGACCCACGGCAACCCCCTGATCGCGCTTCAAGAAGCTGCAGAGCTGCTGGCGGTCCGCCTGCACGTCGACCTTGTTGCGTGAGTGTGCCTGCTGAGCTGCCAGTGGGGCCCAGCCCCACAACCCCTTGCCTCGCCGCTTATCACAGGGACACCTCGCGTATGTTTTTACCCCTGGTCCAGGAGATCAGGGTGCAGCCAAGCAAGGTATCTATATCATGCTGGGCAGATGTGCTGTGCGGCATCTGCTTGGCATTTCTGTACCCCCTGCACTCAACTCGCAAGCCCCCCCCTCCTCTGCTAAATCCTCTTGACGCAACACAGTATTTGGGCTCTTCCCAAGGACGACCCCTCCTGCAGTGTCCTGATGGCCACAGTTGGGACCGGCGCGGCTGCGCTGCAGCAGCACATTGTCAGCCGGCGGCCGCGGGACACGGCGCCATGCACTCAGGGCGAGTGCGGACCTTGCTTGCGCAACTCAGCGCCTGACCTGGTGGGTGTAGGGTGGAGGCAAGCAGGAGGAGCGCGAAAGGATGGCACTGGCAGATTGCCGCCTGGGGCCGGCGCATTGCTTGCGGCAGGTCATTGTGTGAGAGGCATGTGCGAGGCGGTTGCCGACCGGTCGATCCAGAGGCCCTGGGAACCGCCAGGAACCATACGCTCTTGGCCCTCATCTCCGGCCGCAGGTGGGGGCCTTGCCCGAGGAGCTGACAAGCGGCAAGGGCGCCCTGCGCAGCATTGTGCGGGTGCCCATTGGCCCGCCCAACGCGCCGCTGGGCGTGCTGCTGCTCGCAAAGGCCCAGCCTGGCGCCTTCCAGAGCAATTGGTGGGTGCTGCGACTGTGTTGTGGCCGCAGGGCTGGCCAGCACGCGCCCAATTCATGCAGGAAATTTTATGCATGTCCGTTTTCGGGCTCAGATAGAGTAGTGCCTTGTACCAGGTTGGGATGTCTCAATCTTGATTTTGGATGGGTCTGGCCCCCTGGCTCTTCTGCAACATGGCACCAACCCGACCTCTGAAAATTCCTCACCACCACGTCCATGCAAAATGTGCTGGCTAGGTGGCAGGTGCGCCTGCAGCTGGCGGGGGCGGGGCTGCAGCCGCACCTGTACCACCCGCAGATCCAGCAGCTGGCCCAGCTGCTGACGAGGATGGAGGACGAGCAGGACCCAGTGGCGCTCATCAGCCTGCTGCTCAGGGTGCGCGGCCGTGGGTAGACGTTGGCGGCAGCATCAAGGCGTCAGTTCTGTCGTCGAGGCGCGAGTTGAATAGGGGGAAGGTCTGCAAACCTGCCTGTACGCTGGCAGCAGCAGTGCTTCTGCGCACCTGCAGATCAATGCCTCAGGTCCTGGTTATTCTGAGCTTCTCCATCCCTCCACTCCTCGCCACGCAGGGCGCGGCACGCTACATGCAGTCTGCGACCAACATGCCGGCCACGGCGCGCCTCGCATTGCTGACCAGCAGCACCACCCCAGAGGGGCCCGAGTCCCTCATGTTTGAGTGCCCTGCGGCAACCTCTAGTGGCCACTGGCTCGGCGGCGGCGGCGGCGGCGGCGGCGGCGGCGGCGGCGGCGCGCCGCGCGGCAATGGAGCACCTGCAGGGCCGGACGAGGGCCTTGCATCGCAGAGCGACGCAGACGCTGATGTCATCGCCAGCCGATTGACCCTGGTCAACACACTGCTGGCGTCTGCCATTGCTGGGCAACAGGCGCGGTTCATTGCGGACTGCTCCGCATACATGCAGGTGTGTGTGGGCCTAAAGGCGAGGTGCTGCTTGCGCACAGCGTTGTGAAGTGGTGGGTGTCCAAAACCTCGCTCACGCTCACACTTCCCTTCGGCAGTCACTGCGGCGGCCGCTGGGTCGGTCAGAAGCATCGGGGTCTGTCTAACAGCTGCCTCCTTCACGAGCTAGGACATGACCATTGTGCGTCCTAGCGTATGCAGAGGCTGCTGTTCCCCTCAGCTCCCTATTGCACGCCTGCGCCCCTGACTTGGCCCCAACCTCAGGCCTGCCTGCAGCCTGCGCGCGACCTGTTCACGCGGTCATCGCAGCTGGTGGCGTCTATTGTGGTGATCCCTCTCATGGCAAGGAGCGACGCGCCTGTCCTGGGCGGCCTGTACTTCACATTCAACGTGCCCTGCGATTTTCTGCAGATCCAGGAGACCGTCCTGGTGCGTTCGGCTGTGATTGTTTGAGAAAAGATGAAAGGTTTT